CAAGTATATGTGATTGTGTGTCACATAAATTAATGCGAATTTAAAACCCCATTAAGTAATTTTTACATCTTTGATAAAATAAGAACAAAATATATTTTAATAAGTAAAATCCTGCTTGAAATAATAAAAATGATATGTCAATAGAAAAAAATATGACTTAATATAAGCCGTAAATGACTTGATTCTAGTTTAAAAACATACATTTCAAGTATTATTTTCTTATTTCTAAAACATATTTGAGACACATACTAAAATATAGCATCACAGACTTATTTTATTTAAAACAAATCTAATGTAATCTATCTAATATTAATCTTTAAGCCATTAAAAAATAAGCATAATTTTTGTTTTTTTTTGTAAACAAATCTTCAGTGAGAGGTGTCTTTTGCTGTATTTGTCCTAATATCCTGATTTTTGGCACAAATCGATTCAAAAACAACTCTCGACCCTTTTGTCCAAATTAGACAGGTGTTTTCAATCGTTTGAAGCTAAAGTATTGCTTCTAAATTAGACCAAGCAGAGACGCCAGGCTTCCCTCTCCACACACACTTCATCCAGGGGAATCCCAGGTGTTCAAGACCCAGCTCAGAGATTCTCTCCAATGTGTCCAGAGAACATCTCCCCAAGGAGGCGTCCAGGAGGCTTTCCAAACAGATGCTCGAGCCACCTCAAATGGCTTCTCTAGACATGGAGAACCAGCAGCTCTACGCTGAGCTCCTATCTCTAGGTTTGGGTCAGGGTGGGCTGTTTGTTCTCTTATATCCATGATCTCATCCTTATCATCAACGATACTACCATTAACTTGAATGAAGCAGTTCAACTATTCAATATGAACCAAACATATGTTTCCATCTTGAATATATCTATATATAGAGCTGTTCCCTTCGTATAGTGTCTGGGATAATTTTAAGAATATAGATGGATAAGATAAGATAAACTTTATTAATCTCACAATGTAATTTACTCACACAGATTTATGAGTTTATTTACAGATAGAATAGAATATCCTTAGAGATCAGGGATGTCAAAGTCGAATACATCAGAAGCCAAAAACCCCTAATTTGCTACGAGCCAAGGGCCAAACATTGAACACTGGTTCATATATATTTGTTTTTTAAAACAAATCAAAATTATGAATAAAACCTATTGAACCAAGGTCTAACACAGCTGGATCGTATTTTATCTAATGTTTTAATGAATAATTAAATATTTCTGAATGACTCTGTTTGTACATTTTCCAACAAGCTCAGAGACAAAAACAAACTTCCTTCAAAGAGAAAACACCTGAACATTAAATTAATAATCCAATATTTTCTTATGGTTCTGTGTGGCCAGTTCTAATACTAGTCAAATATCACCCCGGGGGCCAAGATCATTAATTCTCGAGCCGCATCTGGCCGCCGGGCCTTGATTTTGACACCCATGCTATAGATCCTACTTCACTGTCCAGCACATTTGCACCCCAATTAGTTCACACTCATGACACATTTTTAACATCTGTGTTAAATGAATGTCTTGAAATTGTGTGTTTTTCTTTCAATGAGTAAGAATCTGTAACAGATGTAGAAAGCATGTTTAGTCTGCAGAAAGAGAGTACATCCGCTTTTAATCACATAAGCAAAAAGACGGAGAACACCGAATAGGCTGCTCGAATTTCAGATTTGAATATTGCACTTCATATTTCCTTATCCACAGCTTTGAAGTTTGAAGTTAAAGGCGCTAAAGCAGGCATCACTTATGATTATGACGGCCTCAAAGAGAATCTCAGTGATGGATCGCAGGACTGAGGCAGAGGATGATGGGACTTTACTCCAAAGATATAATCACATTGTCATTTATGACATTTATACCATTGTCCAGTGGAGAAGTTAGTTTAATACTCACACATACACACCCACACATACACACATACACACACACACATACATACATACATACATACACACATACATATTAACATACATACATCAGTTCACCAATGGTTTTGAGGGGTCTTTCTGTTGTGGTAACTGTAGTGGTTCTGCTATATAACTTTTTATCTTCGGCATATTTCCGTGAGCTGATTGGCTGAGTCAGAGTGATCCTTCCTTTTTATTTGTCAGTCTGAAAAAGATGATGTAAAGAGTTGACCTAAACCAAAAATGTATATGGCACTTTTTCCCCATAGAGTGAACCGTGGCGCTTCAGCTAAGATTTTATTGAAGATTTTATTGAATATTACAGCTATTTTTTGTTTGTCCCATTATTGTGTTTTATGATTTTTTCACACGTTTACGCTTTTGTAATAAGCAAGGAAACACTGAAATCCTACCCACTGTACAATGACTATACATGATCTCATATTTTGACCTTAATTCTCCCCTGATTGAGACGATTTCGGCCTGCACGTCTCTTGGGGGCGGTAATGACTCAGAGTGACCACGCAGTGAGTCTAGTCTCCTGTAAACGCTGGTGATCTGTGAGAACTCTCCATACACGGGGAATGATAAACGCTGAGTGTGAATAATTTCATTAAGATTTCCTCTTGCAGCTGCCTCGCTTTTTGGCTGCTCCAGACGGACTCCTCATCCTGAGAGAAGTGGGGTAAAATTACAGAAAGTGTAACACATGATGTCAGCATTACTAGATCTAGATTGTGCTAATGGGAAAAAGCTGTGCAGTACAATGGCTCTGCTCGCTGCCAGACCATCGACAAATGTGGTCCCCCTCCCCCCACCACTGTGATCCCCTCTTAGTTCCACATCTGGAGAGCAAACTTGGAAAGGGGCCTTGGACACAGCAATATTTGGGTCAAAGTAGACACTGCATGGTGAGATACTGAGGCAGCTTCCGAAGTTATGAAAGTACCGGCTTCTTATCATTCCCCGTCCTGTTAAACCTGGGTTTACCTAACCTGTTATGTGTTTAATGTTTGTCTTAACCATAGACCATTTATTTAAGTGTGTTTATAGGTTGTCCTGTATCCAATTACTGGAGGTCATGCCTGTGTACTGTACAGCAGCTTTTTTCTTTTTAATGGACATATTTCTTTTTCATTATGCAATATACTGTATGTAGTGTATATTTCCTTTTACCTATGGACCATATTGTATCGTGTAATAATAATAATAATTATTATTATTATTATTATTATTATTATTATAATGATAATAATAATAGTTTGGTTTATAATAAATTATGCAGAGAGAGTTTTGTGAAAGAAAAAAAAGTGTGACTGAATCTTGATCACAATGTTTTTAGTAAACAAAGCTCTGGTCGTCACATTAGGCTGAGAGCTGATTGGCTGAGTGAGGGTGATCCTTTCTTTTTCACTGTTTTCTGTGAAAAACCTGATCTAAATATGTGAAAGAGGCTAAAAACTATATGCAAGTGTAATTTAGTGATACAACCAAAGTGTTGGATGGATTTTATTTAAAATGAAAGTTTTCTTGTACGCTAGGTAGGTCACCCATCAATTTAACTTGTGTTTCTGTGTTGTATGTACCCCCACTGGTGCTCTGTCTGAAAATGATTTTTGAAGTTTTTTGAATTGAATTGAATATAATTGACCTTCTTTGAGACATGGGTAGCTCCACGTATGAACTAGCAAAAACACTTTTAACAGCATTTGATGATAGACTCATTTGATTTGACTTTTATTTCAGACTGTCATACACAAATGTATGAAAAACACAAAAGAGGAGGTATATTTTTTATGAATTTGGATGTGGCAGAAGCATAGGGAGAAACAGAGGGAGAGGGCGACCAAGATAAATGTGCAGGGGGTGCAGGGAGGCAGGAGGAGGGGGAAACCAAAGCCGTCAAGCCTGAAAGAGTTGCCCCTGTATTTGAACCTGATGCTGAACCCGGAGTGAACTGCAGCCAATGGGACAAAGAGTGTTTTCACAAAGATAGAGGAGGGTTTTAAGTCAACATGAGCCAACAAGAGTTCACCACCTTCTGAAATTAAAGTTGTTCCAAATGTTTTTATTAGCAAGTAGCAAAACTGGACATAAAGACGGATTCAAATATGGATTGTTTCACTTCACCAAAAAAGTGTCTCCTTATTCTAAGCTGAAACATCTGGCAACAGCACTGTATGCAACTTAGTGCTGCCCTCTTGTGGAAAGATTTGGACACAGCACTATACTAAACACTTTCTTAATGTAGTAAAGGTAAAAGTGCACTTTATTTATTAGTGTAGGGAGAAAAAACAACAAATAACAAACAATAATAATGTTGAGCTTCATATAGGTAAGATATTGATGAATTGTTTCACCAGTGAAAAGTAGATATTTGTGGCATATCCTGTTAGTACTGTGATGGAGCAAGAAGGTCCTGGGATAGATTCCACCTCCAAGCTTTTCTGTGTGGAGTTTGCATATTCTTCCTGTGTCTGCATCCTAAAACCATGTACAATAGTTCTGAATGTAATGAGGGAATGGATGATTGTGGTTGGGGGCTTGGATGCCAGAGTCTATTGCTGCCTTGTATGAGTCTGTTGTGTGTTTGACTGGCTGGGGGGCATCGGTGTGGTCTGATGACACAGATTTGTAGCCTCACTTCTGTCAGTCATCCCCAGGGCAGGTGTGGCTACAGCGGGGGCTTATCACCACAGTGTATGGAGGGAAGTGTGCACATGTGAAGTTCTGTGCGTGTCATTCAAAGTACTATAGAAGACCCAAGTACTATTTATCATTATTATCATATGAACAATAGGAACAACTTCCCTAATAAAATCATCTGTACTTTATCAGAGTATACACACACAGTTTACATGTGGCCAAGGATTAGTGTTAAGACTTGGCCACATTAACAAAATAACTGTCAATAAAATATAACCAAAACGGAACTGGAAATCAACCAAATGAAAAAATGGCGGGCAAAGATTCAGCAATAGGTTGTTTTTTTTTCTTCAAAGTGTTAGTATAAGAAAGATAAAGCCAATATGTTTGTATGAATTCTGCGTAAAAGTTTTGTGGTTAATTATAAATAAAAATGTTGCTTGTTTGGAGTCAGTTTCAGCCTTCCTTCTTTGGATATTTCTCTTTGGCCAACTTCACAAAGTCGTCCGCGCTGTCCAGTGACACCAGCCGATCCTGAACAAACAACAATGGATTATAGGAAGATCATGTTTGTCACTGTCGTCTCATAACTGCTCTATCCGATACAATCAAATCCGGTTTATCTAATGTGCACATTTCATTCAAAAATAGAACACTTTTTCAGAGGTTTCAATCAAAGTCCTTTCAATTGTTTTGGAGAGGCTTTTGTTTATTTGTTTTTTGCTTGGAATCAGTAGTATGACATAAAGCGTTGGCATCATTTAATTGCATACTGAGAGCTGATTGGCTGAGCTGAGGCTGGCTCTCTCTTTTTCTCTGAAATCGCTGATCTAAAGATATGACAGCAGCCAAAAGAAAACATGTTTGTGATAACTTGAGACAGAACTATTTTGAGCACAAACTAATTACATGGTTGTTTTTATATCCATGGTTTGCTCTCTGTTCTCAGTATAACTGTCATAAAGGAGCACAGATTAAATAATTTTGTGGCACATCTTGATGTTTATTCATGGAACTAATGGGACCCACGGTGGGACTAAAAAAGGCATTCACTCATTCATTAAGCCAGCTGCATATTTACCATGACATAGAGGTATCTGCTGTTGTGTCCAGTGCCAGGGGGGAACAAGCAGGTGTGTTCCAGCAGGTATTTGAGGAGCTCGATGGCTTTGGTCAGATGCTCTTGATCTCTGCTGAAATTACACTGCTTATTCACATTCAACAAGCCCTCCACCTCACACTGGTAACCTGTGCACAAGGGGGAAAGGTTCAGATAAAATTTAGAAAAGTTATGTAATTTCACCATGTTGCATAAGTCTGTAATGATAGAGTTTTGATGAATGCTACTTTAAGGGACCAGAGAGAGGCCAGAGAGAGACCAGAGAGAGGCCAGAGAGAGACAAGAGAGAGACCAGAGAGAGACCAGAGAGAGGCCAGAGAGAGACAAGAGAGAGACCAGAGAGAGACCAGAGAGAGACCAGAGAGAGACCAGAGAGAGGCCAGAGAGAGACCAGAGAGAGGCCAGAGAGAGACCAGAGAGAGGCCAGAGAGAGACAAGAGAGAGACCAGAGAGAGACCAGAGAGAGGCTAGAAGGAGACCAGAGAGAGACTTTTTGGGCTGTTAAATTTATTTATTTTTTAAAATGCTTTTGTTTTATTAATGTTACGTCATATCTTGTCTACTTAAATTATTTCACATTATAAAACATAAAATGCCAACGTGAATATTCTCAAGATCAAGGCCAAAATCAATACTTTTATTTGACTGGAGCAAGAACAAACAGATTCTATTATAATGTAATTTTCTGGTTTAATACAGCATTAGAGGTAAACATTTGACCATTTAAACATACATTGAGTCTGCATACATCCAATACAGATAATGGACCCATACGCACCAAGTTGTAGAAGTATTTTCTCCCATCTTGCTCTGACCTCTTTCTTTGTGTACCGCAGCGTGTGAATGTCAAAATTTAGCTGTTCCCATTCCTGAAACCACATCACCATAAAGACAGTAAATGTTATGTATGTATGTTTTGTATTTCAATAAAATGAGTTCAAATGAGGGGTCTTCAAGTGGAGGAGTAACGAGGAAAAGTAGTAGGTAGATTAGAAGGTTTACACCATATAAACCTGAAACATAATTGACTTTCTACGAGAAGCGAAGTTAGTGTGGAGTCGCTGTTCCTGGAAAGTCGCTGTAGAGTTGCTGTTCCTTCCAAGAAAAGACAGATTAATTGAATCTGTTTTGTATGATTCTGCTGATTCTGATTCAGTCTATTTGCTATTTTCAGTAAAACCACTTGGATTACATGAGCAAAAGTCCCCAGAGTACTGCAAGTGATCAAATATGAGAAATGCTCAAATCAGGTGGGGGGTTTTTTTTATATTTTGAGGAGTACATGCTGACGGTTTTTAAACAAGATTTGCTTTTTTTATCATTCCAAGGGAGACATTTTTTGTATCTTTTTAAAACAAGCTATATTTGCTTTAGCCTGGCCTTGGTCATCTGTAAACTCCGGTGAATTATCATTTTCCTAATTCCTACATGTACGTCTGGGTCCTGGTGGCTGCAGTTTCCTCGGTTGAATCCCATCCGACCAATCAGCGAGCGGGAGAGGCGGGTGTTGTTGGTCGGTGTCGGTGACGTTGAGAGTTTGCGCCAAATTTGCTGGTTGTAGTTTGGCAATGGCTGTTAATGTGATTGTGAAGTAATTAGTTCTGTTTAGGCTCCAAACATCAAGAAATTGAAGCTGGAGCAAGAGGAATCTTAAGCAAATGTCATTGCTGCAAAGATGTCTTGGTTCTACTGGCCATGGGCTCTGTTAGTGGCAAAGGAGATGGGTATAGCTAGGCTAAATGCTAATTTCCCACTCACTTGGGCACTTTACGTCACTGTAAACTCAGATCCAATCGTTTCAATCTGCAAAAGGAGTTCACCCCTCATTCTGTTAACAGAGCTTAATGGATCTAATCTAGACTTTAGAACTAAGTAAGATGGTATGATAAGACCAGGCTATATTTGCTTGTCCCATTTGCAAATCTTGTTTGAAGGTAGTCAAAATGTGCTCAAATTAAGACACATTTTGCCAAATGTCAGCAATTTTTGACTTATTCTTCATCATTTTTTGCAGTGTTCAAACAGGACAAGAGTTGAGCAGGTGAAAGCATCACTCAAACACCACAAGTTTCCCATTCCCTCCCATCCCACTGGCTACAACACGAATGAGCGGGTGAAGTCTGGAACTCTGCATTTGGGCATAACACAACTGAACTGAGTGTAACAACTATACTGCTCTACATTTAAATTAGTTACATGACAACAATGTGCCCACTGTGTCCGTCTCTGTCACATGCTTCTACTCTCAGAACTTTTATAATTACGTCACAATCTGTCCAGTTTCAGCCATCCTGCTTCTGTTTACAAGTCTGATGCTATTGTGTGTAAATGTGACCATTCCCATGCAAAAGAGAACATTTTTCCCCAAAGAAAAAGGGCTATTTCAATGTGTATGAAAGCCTTTGTCGCACAGAAGTGGGAAGTGTATAGGCTGCATCTTTTGGAGGGAGGAGTTTGTAGGACAAGGTGTTGTAAAGGTAATATTATTGTTCTTTTGTTACTTATGGGATGATTGGACTCATGTTGTAATGATAGCTGTGATTTCAGGGAGAAAATAGACCCTTCAATTAAATAAGTTATGAAGTGCAGGTCGTTGGACGTTAGACAGAGCAATCTCAGCAGTACAATAGTGACATGCTAATGAGGTAGGATCGTTAGACATAGCCGGATCGTTAGACCTAGCCGGATCGTTAGACCTAGCCGGATTGTTAGACCTGCCTCCAACCACATCTTAGAAGACAATAGATGTGTCATTGAGATAGCCTCAGGATCAGGGGGCTTTCATTTCCTTGAGAAAGTTCTTTGGATTAAGGAGGAAATGTCGGAAAACCAGATGACTGAAGTGCAGATGATGGCTGAGCACCCTCCCTTTGTTTTGAATAATATTGAGAGTTTACACAAAAGGTATAAGTTGTGGTTTATTCATCTGGGATTTTAACCTCTGCAGTTAACCTATCCTTCCAATGCCTCTAAGGCCTCTGTCAGGAGCAGTGGTCGCCCTCGTACAGTAGGTCCCATTTCGTTTTGTCGTCTTCATTCACGCTTTTCGGGAATCACGCAGCTGCGTGAAAAATATTACATCTTATCGCCACAAGGTGGCAGGTTAAGTCCGCTTTAGCTCTGCCAGCGACTTAGACGCTCACGTATCATACTGCGTGCAAACCTGTCTAGCCCAGAGATTCTATCTTGGCCGAATGGTTAACATTGAAGGCTGAGACCTGGAGAAACCAGGTTCGATTCTTGTCTGAGGCCATTTTGGTTGCACATCTTTTGGTTGCTTGTGTGCAATTACGTAACGTTATCAGATTGTTATCTTCTTTCCTTGTCAAAAGGAAATGTGTAAAATTGGCTGTGTGTTCAAGCCGTGCATGTGAATGTATATGTGTTGCTATTGAATGCTTTTTCAAAGTAAGAGCATAACAGACAACATATACATATTTTGTACTAATGTTAATCTTTATCATTAAATTGCATTAACGTATATATGTGATGCGATCTGGGAAAACCCGTCGGATGTCACGATGGCACGTTCCGAGTAAACAGTAAAAATAGGTCGATTGTCATTTTTTTTGGCAAAATTGTTTTTTCATTAAACAATTATTATATAACATCTTGTCTTTAATGTCTGAAAAAATCTAGGTGAAATTCACTAGTGTTATACGTTAAATATTGTGATATGTTTTGATAAACCGAACGTTACGTTACATCCTCCGCTCTGGCCCCGGGAGCAGCTGCTGTGACCCCCGCTCTGACAGCTCAGTGAACGCACTGCAGTCTGGGCTCCGAGCGCGGACCATAGACACGCGAACAGAACCACAGACAGGACCATAGACACCCGAACAGAACCACTAACAGACATTTACATTTACACATACGCAGACAGAACCCAGACAGGCGGAGACACGCGGATCATAGACACTTGGACAGAACCAGAGACACACGAAGCATAGACACTCGAGTCGGACAGGTCCATTTGTTTTATTTGTGTTTAAAGTTACCTAAGTTTCTCCTTGCATTAAAAATGCTTGGTGGTTGTGGATATTTAGACTGCGTGATTTGATAGAATAATACTGGCAATGTCTAATACATATCTAATTTTCAGTAAATTATAAACAGAAAGAAAAAGAAGAGGAGGTCAAAATTCAATCCATTGAATATTGAAAGAATCAATACATTCTTGATTTTCGACTAATTCATGAGTGTTGTGTGTTTAATTGGTGCCAAAGTAACATCTTTTTAATCTTCTACAACATAGTGACTAAGACAAGTGTGCCATAACAGAGTAATTCAAATTGTACATGTTATATGTGACTGTGATGATTATGTTTAGAATGTCGATCTTTAAACCTGTTTTTCCTCAGAATTCTGTTTCATAAAACCATGTAAATACGATGACTTCAGATTATGACTCTGTTGTGAATGTTTTGAGAGCATTGTCAGTCCTTAAGAGGAGGAATAGCTGTTGTTCTCGGGGAACGAGCTTCGCGCTGTGTGATATGATCATGCAGCTTATTGGACAAAATTGTTTAGCCAATAAACTGAACAATATTTGAAGCAACGTAGGTGATGACGCTCAGGGGGTTATATTTTCTAAAAAAAAGATTAGAACGCAACATTTAGTTAATAATGTGTGTATAAAAATAAAAAATATTGAAATTATGACTTTAAACAAAAAAGTCTAATGACTTGAGAGGCGAAGAACAAAATTGGGAAGGCCAAGAAAAAAACTGGTATAGGCACCGGCCTACCCAGGCCTATCCCTGGCCGCGGCTGGGCCGTGCATGTGAATGTATTTTATGTTTAAATGTGTTTCTATTGAATGCTATTTATTTCTTTATAATCTTTATCTTTATAATTAAATTGCATTAACGTATATATTTAAAATAATTATGTATTGTCTATAGAATTCTCTGCGAATTCGAAAATAAAGACATTCTGAAAGCGATCTGCCTCTCGTGATCTTTTAGTGAGGTCTTCTTCTGGTATTTACTGTTTGGCTGAGCAAAGTTATAATAGTGTTGTTTAAAATTAATCCCATTTTCAAACACTCTGGACGGCGTGATGTAAATAAGAGAGCGAGAGAGAGACGCTGACGCATTTTGGCTCAGTGCGCTGGTGTGCAATCAATGGAATACATCACAATACTCAACAAACAAGATCCATTCAGTTTTATCATTGGAGGAAATGTTTATTAAATTAGCAATTGGCACCTTGACAAAACACTGGATATAGAAATCCTAACAATAGTAGGCTAATATTATATCACATGCCAGTTGCCTCTCCCTTCAAGGCTAGACCTGGTCATATCCAGGTGGTCTATATATTTATTGCAGACCTGGGTTGTGAGTTTGTTTAGCCAAAAAAACTCTATTGCGGAGATCAGTGCGTCCTTGCTCATTGGTTTTGCCTCACAGCGAATGTATCTTTTCATGGACGCCCACACTAACTCAATGGGGTTCAGATCCGGCGACCTTAAACAAAAACACATGGACATGTCAGCACTGTTAGCCTATTTTCCGATACAGCATGTATTCATCCAGAATATATATATATATATATAAAATAACTACGGTAACTCACTCTGCCGGTGTCGGTACCCAGTTGATCCCCTCACTTTGAATGCAGGCTTTGACACTTTTTGCTGTGTGTTTTGGATCGTTGTCTTAAAAAATCAAACAGGACAAATTAGGAGGACAACTTAATCATTAAACAAACATTAGTAGCCTAATCATCACGACGTTGCTTTTGTCATAATCATGCTGAAGATTTGGAATACAGATTGTTAGCCTACCTTGGAAGAATCTATGTGTAGACATACGGAAATGCTCCCTTAAGTATGGACCAGCAGCTTTTTTGATGATTTCTTCCGCGTAGAAGTGTTGATCCATTATACCTGCGGGTTTAAATAATATGTTAGCATATTGTAACAATTTATTTAGCATAGCCTACTTTGCATGCATTGCTTTCAAAACTTTATCACTCACCGTCAAAAATGACCAGCGGACCAGGTCCCCATCGAGAAATTCCACCCCAAACATGCATTTTGACCGGGTGCTTCACTCTTGGTTTTGCAATGCCCCTGAAGTTGGTCTTTCTCCAGCACTTCAAGGCAAAACGTTCCAGTGCCACAGTTGACTCGTCAAACTTTTCACCTGCAGCCTTCCATTCTTGAGCTTGGATTACACGCAAATCTTTGTTTTTTCCTCTGGTCATTGGAACGAATCTGTAAGCAGAATTTATCAAAATGTTACTATAAGAATGACATGTTGAGTGCCCGGTTATCACGATAAGTAATTAATAAAGAGACGCGTGTTACCTGGGCTTTCCAAAGTTCCAGCCAAGAGTCCGGACTGCCTTTCGCACCGAGTGTAAGCCGATCATTATGTTGTGCCTGCTTTGGAGAAGCTCTTTTACTTTTCTTGCTGGTAGTTCATCGTCTGCTCTCAGGATGGAGTCTATTATTTCCATCACCTGACTGAAAGAGACACATTGTTTCAGTACATAGTTTGGTAAAGCCTGTTGTTATTTTGTTCACATGTGAAACTTACAAACTTGAGTATATATTTAAATAATAAAAAGTACATTTACCTTGTCACTTTACGTGGCTTGCGTTCCTTCTTCTTCTCCACAACAGCACATCGGCAATGACGCTGGATAGTTCGCAAGGAAGCTCTTATTCCAGTTGTGGCCAAGTGTTTGGCGATAGTGGTAGTCGTCCAGCCTTTCTTACGCAGAGTCCTGATGAGCTCACTGACTTGTGCGTTGATCACAGCCATCGTTGTGGGCCGCATCTTTCACCTCCGAAGTAAAACGGCCCGCATCGAGAGAAAAGCAGTGCGCGTTTTGTTGACTGCTTACGGTAATAGCAGAACAGCCTTTCGCAGTCAGCTTTTCTCCTCGAACAGAAAGCGCGCTTAGGAGACTCGTTTTGTGAATAAACCCTTATTTGGAAAAGCATGTAAAAACTTAAAATGTTCGACATTTAATTTGGTCAAAAAGTGAAATTTTCAGCTGCTGTCCATTTTTACAGTAAAGACTTGAGTGTCTTATTCCACTGGGTTCATGACCTCACCACTGCCTTCACCGCTGTGCCTACAACCAAAAACCTTTACTTTGGAAATTGTGGGTAAAATTGAGACAAAGTACACTTTTTAGCCCAAAATACACAAAACTAAGAACATTCCCACCTTTAATCTACTGTAACTTTTTACTGTAAAAAGGGTTGCGACTAATTTCACTGGATTCATGACCTCATGATTGCCCTCTACCACTGTACCAAAGACCAGAAACTTTTACTGTAGAAATATTGAGAAATATTGATTTAAAGTAGCCATTTTGGTTCAAAATAGCCTAAAAATGGTCAAAACATGTCACTTTTCATCTACTGTAACTTTTTACTGTAAAAAGGTGTGCGACTAATTTCACTGGATTCATGACCTCATGATTGCCCTCTACCACTGTACCAAAGACCAGAGACTTTTACTGTAGAAATATTGAGAAATATTGATTTAAAGTAGCCATTTTGGTCCAAAATAGCCTAGAAAATGGTCAAAAAATGTCACTTTTGATCTACTGTAACTTTTTACTGTAAAAAGGTGTGCGACTAATTTCACTGGATTCATGACCTCATGATTGCCCTCTACCGCTGTACCAAAGACAAGAAACATTTACTGTAGAAATATTGAGAAATATTGATTTAAAGTAGCCATTTTGGTCCAAAATAGCCTAAAAATGGTCAAAACATGTCACCTTTCATCTACTGTAACTTTTTACTGTAAAAAGGTGTGCGACTAATTTCACTGGATTCATGACCTCATGATTGTCCTGTACCACTGTACCAAAGACCAGAAACTTTTACTGTAGAAATATTGAGAAATATTGATTTAAAGTAGCCCTTTGGTCCAAAATACCTCCAAAATAGTCGAAACATGTCACTTTTGATCTACTGTAACTTTTTACTGTAAAAAGGTGTGCGACTAATTTCACTGGATTCATGACCTGATGATTGACCTCTACCACTGTACCAAAGACCAGAAATTTTTACTGTAGAAATATTGAGAAATATTGATTTAAAGTAGCCATTTTGGTCCAAAATAGCCTAAAAATGGTCATAATATGTCACTTTTGATCTACTGTAACTTTTTACTGTAAAAAGGTGTGCGACTAATTTCACTGGATTCATGACCTCATGATTGCCCTCTACCGCTGTACCAAAGACAAGAAACATTTACTGTAGAAATATTGAGAAATATTGATTTAAAGTAGCCATTTTGGTCCAAAATAGCCTAAAAATGGTCAAAACATGTCACTTTTCATCTACTGTAACTTTTTACTGTAAAAAGGTGTGCGACTAATTTCACTGGATTCATGACCTCATGATTGTCCTGTACCACTGTACCAAAGACCAGAAACTTTTACTGTAGAAATATTGAGAAATATTGATTTAAAGTAACCATTTTGGTCCAAAAATGGTCAAAACATGTCACTTTTGATCTACTGTAACTTTTTACTGTAAAAAGGTGTGCCACTAATTTCACTGGATTCATGACCTCATGATTGACCTCTACCACTGTACCAAAGACCAGACATTTTTACTGTAGAAATATTGATTTAAAGTAGCCATTTTGGTCCAAAATAGCCTAAAAATGGTCAAAACATGTCACTTTTCATCTACTGTAACTTTTTACTGTAAAAAGGTGTGCGACTAATTTCACTGGATTCATGACCTCATGATTGCCCTCTAACACTGTACCAAAGACCAGAAACTTTTACAGTAGAAATATTGAGAAATATTGATTTAAAGTGGCCATTTTGGTCCAAAATTGCCTAAAAATGGTCAAAACATGTCACTTTTGGTCTACTGTAACTTTTATTGTGGAAATTTTGAGATTTAATTAGTCAAAGTACCCCCCTTGGTAAAAAATACACAAAAGGGGCTACGGCCCCTTTTGTCGACAAGCGGAGGCTCTGCTCCGAGCTCCTTCCGTGTGACTGAGCTCCTCAACCTATCTCTAAAGGTGCTTTCAGACCAATAGCTTCAAAACGCTTTTGACGTGTAATATTTGACGCTGGGTCCGGTGTGAACGCCCCTTGGTGCTTGAAGCTCCTGACGCCGGATGGGAGGAGCTTCTCTCGCTCCCGCCTGGAGCTCGCACTGATTCCCGCGGAATCGCGCCTGTCTTTCAGTCTGCTGTGTCTGAGCCAGCTTTAGCTTGTTCTTATACTAAATAAATTACTTTAACTTCACAGCATATGTACATTGATTGTGTTACTTACTTTTTAAGAACGTTACTATTCATACAAATAATATTACAAATAACAATAATGACAATGAAAAAGCAGTAGCAGCTACATGACAGCCCTGCTGCTGCTGCTGCTCCTCGTCTCCAGATTGGTTGAAGCCCGGCGTCAAGCTCCAAAAGCTTTTCTCAACTTCGGCGTTAAGGGACTTTTTTACGACAAAAGAGACGCAAGCATTACGCGTGTCAAAAGCTTCAAGTGACGTGCATAATGCTCGCGTCTTTTGAAGCGCTTCAAGTGAAGCCGGGCCTCTCAGCGTCACCTGACGCGCTTCACTATTCATTTTCAGTGCAAAACTGACGCTTTTCAAGTCTAAGTTGAGTCCGGTGTGAAAACACCTTAAGGGAGTGCCCAACCAGTCTTTCCCACCGCTTGTATCTACAATCTCGTTCTTTCGGTCATTATCCAAAGCTCATGACCAGAGGTGATGGAGGGAACAAGAATTGACCGGTAAATCGAAAGTGGCCGCATCACTGTGCACGCTGCACCAATCCACCTGTCAATCTCACGCTCCATCCTTCCGTCACTCGTGAACAAGACCCCGAGATACTTGAACTCCTCCACGTGAGGAAGGACCTCTCCACTTTGGCGGCACGGTGGCTGAGTGGATAGCACTCTCGCTTCTCAGCAAGAAGGTCCTGGGTTCGAATCCCAGTCGGAACAGTGCCTTACTGAGTGGAGTTTGCATGTTCCCCGTGTCTGCATAGGTTTCCTCTGGGTGCTCCGGTTTCCCCTGGCACTAAAAACATGCTCAATAGGTATTAATGGATAATGAAGATTGGGGGCTGATCAGTGGGGGCGGGTCCCGGCTCGAAAGTGGCCAAAATGATGCGCTGACATGCTTGCAATACCACCCCGGGCCGATGGGGGTGGACCCGGATTAAGAATTAGCCAATGCTAACGTATAGCATTGGCAGACCTCTCGAAAAGAATGGTCCAAAAGTTGGCTCTTGGCCCAAAGCTCCGTTCCACATGTGTGTCAATGATGAGGGGGTGAATTTTTTTGGACTACTCTACTTTACTCGCTGTGAATTTTTTAAGTCTCTCGTTCAAATGAATGGAGCTTGCGCCGGCTGACGCATGCGCAGATGCTTTTTTTCCCGCTATATAATTTTTTTTATATATATATAAATGCGCTATATAAATAATCATTACTCATTACTCGAGAGGGCAAGGCACCTTTTTCCGGTCAGGCATCATGGCCTCGGATTTGGAGGTTCTCATCCCAGCCGCTTCACACTCGTCTGCAACCGTCACAGTGCATGTTGCAGGTCCTGGTTCCTTGGAGCCAACAGGACAACATCGTCGGCAAACAGCAGAGATGAAATCCTGTGGTCTCCGAACCGGACCACCTCCGGCCCCTGGCTGCACCTACAAATTCTGTCCATTATGACAGTAAACAGAAGCGGTGAAAAAGGGCAGCCTGCACCTGCCGGCAATGCAAATACATGACGTCATGAATCCAGTGAAATTAGTCGCACACCTTTTTACAGTAAAAAGTTACAGTAGATCAAAAGTGACATGTTTTGACCATTTTTAGGCTATTTTGGACCAAAATGGCTACTTTAACTCCATATTTCTCCAAATTTCTACAGTAAAAGTTTCTGGTCTTTGGTACAGTGGTAGAGGGCAATCATGACGTCATGAATCCAGTGAAATTAGTCGCACACCTTTTTACAATAACAAGTTACAGTAGATCAAAAGTGACATGTTTTGACCATTTTTAGGCTATTTTGGACCAAAATGGCTAGTTTAAATCAATATTTCTACAGTAAAAGTTGCTGGTCTTTGATACAGTGGTAGAGGGCAATCATGAGGTCATGAATCCAGTGAAATTAGTCGCACACCTTTTGACAGGAAAAAGTTACAGTAGATCAAATGTGACATGTTTTGACTATTTTGGAGATATTTTGGACCAAAATGGCTAGTTTAAATCAATATTTCTCAATATTTCTACAGTAAATGTTACTGGTCTTTGGTACAGTGTTAGAGGGCAATCATGAGGTCATGAATCCAGTGAAATTAGTCGCACACCTTTTTACAGTAAAAAGTTACAGTAGATCAAAAGTGACATGTTTTGACCATTTTTAGGCTATTTTGGACCAAAATGGCTACTTTAAATAAATATTTCTCAATATTTCTACAGTAAAAGTTTCTGGTCTTTGGTACAGTGGTAGAGGGCAATCATGAGGTCATGAATCCAGTGAAATTAGTCGCACACCTTTTTACAGCAAAAAGTTACAGTAGATCAAAAGTGACATGTTTTGACCATTTTTAGGCTATTTTGGACCAAAATGGCTACTTTAAATCAATATTTCTACAGTAAATGTTTCTTGTCTTTGGTACAGCGGTAGAGGGCAATCATGAGGTCATGAATCCAGTGAAATTAGTCGCACACCTTTTTACAGTAAAAAGTTACAGTAGATCAAAAGTGACATGTTTTGACCATTTTTAGGCTATTTTGGACCAAAATGGCTACTTTAAATCAATATTTCTCAATATTTCTACAGTAAAAGTTTCTGGTCTTTGGTACAGGACAATAATGAGGTCATGAATCCAGTGAAATTAGTCGCACACCTTTTTACAGTAAAAAGTTACAGTAGATCAAAAGTGACATGTTTTGACCATTTTTAGGCTAGTTTGGACCAAAATGGCTACTTTAAATCAATATTTCTCAATATTTCTACAGTAAAAGTTTCTGGTCTTTGATACAGTGGTATAGGGCAATCATGAGGTCATAAATCCAGTGAAATTAGTCGCACACCTTTTTACAGTAAAAAGTTACAGTAGATCAAAAGTGACATGTTTTGACCATTTTTAGGCTATTTTGGACCAAAATGGCTACTTTAAATCAATATTTCTCAATATTTCTACAGTAAAAGTTTCTGGTCTTTGATACAGTGGTATAGGGCAATCATGAGGTCATAAATCCAGTGAAATTAGTCGCACACCTTTTTACAGTAAAAAGTTACAGTAGATCAAAAGTGACATGTTTTGACCATTTTTAGGCTATTTTGGACCAAAATGGCTACTTTAACTCCATATTTCTCCAAATTTCTACAGTAAAAGTTTATGGTCTATGGTACAGTGGTAGAGGGCAATAATAAGGTCATGAGTCAAGTGAAATTAGTCGCACACCTTATTCCAGTAAATAGTTACAATACTTGAAAATTGCACTAGCGGACCAAATTGTGTACTTTATATATGTAAACAATAGAGTGGCTATCCTCCTGAGGACTCACATTCTGCAGGAGGAATCGTAGGGGGCTGGTGCTATGTGTACCGGGTGGCATCTCTATAAGGTTTTAATCACAAAAACGTGTCTCCCAGACCCCAGCGCGCTTTCTGTTCGATAAAAATGGGTGACTCCGAAAGGATGTTCCGCTGTTACCGTAAGTTCTCAAAGAAACGCGCACCGTATTTTCCTCGATGCTGAAAAGATGCGGGCCACTTTACCGCGGTTCGCTGACATGTACTGTAATTATACCATCGGTTGAACTATTTATCTTGATTTTTACACACACCTTCCTCCCCCTACCGCCCACTCCCTGTGTTTTTTCCCAGGTCCCGTCCCAATCACGAGATAAGATGTTTTGCATATGTGAGGAAGAACTGGATTTTCGACATTCCTGTGGTCAATCTAGTTCAAGACAGTTCAGCTTTAACATGTTGTTCATTAAAATGGCCAGAATTGCCTATATTTTGGGCAACGGAATAAAAATAATGGATTGCGCCAGATTAAAATGTGTGGCTACTGCCCATCACTGCATATTAGTAACTAAGATTTTAGCAGATGGGATTTGTTTCGTTTTTCAATTGACTGATCATAATGAACAAATCTGTAAAAACTCCAATTCCGCCTGTTTTTTTGGGTTCAAAGCTGAATAAATCAGGCTAGGACAAATCAAGCATCATGCGGGAATAATCAATACTTTCACCTGCCGTGTCTCGCATTGCGCACACCGGAGAGAGCGAGAGAGTGTGTGTGTCTGTGGGGGGAGGGGGGAATATGGCCCATACTGTACCTGTGTATATATCACGTGGACTATAGACCACTGGCTGGGGGGGCACAAGCATCTTGGGGGACGGGCACGGCCCCCTATGGCCCGCCCATAGCGACGGTATGAGTATATATAGACATGTCCTTAACAGAGGTCCTACTACAGTATTTCGGGAGCATGGAAGCCAAAGGTTTTTACCACGAACGCTCTTCCAGAGTCGCCAAGACTCTCTTCCCACGGAACGAAAACTCACCTCAAGCCGAGGTGAAACAACGGGTACGTTGTTAAATGTAATGTTAAATGTGAATGTTATTAGGCCCTAGGAGTATGTAATATTAAACAATGCTACAGCCTCTAATGTCTTTGGCAATGTTTCTTACAGACTCCAGGCAAACGTTCGCCAGCATCATCTTTGCGGCAAGGCAAAACAGCAAAGCGTCTCGTCACAAAAAAAGCGGTAAGTGTAATCCTGTATTATGTGTAGTGTATAATAGCCAATAAGCCAGGCATCCTCGCTTAACTAAGCCACGACTCATGACTTTTCTCAATTTCAATACAGGCAGCGGTTTCCATGTCGCTGGTGCGTGACAATAAGGACCGCTGGATGGCAGACATTGAACAGCGTCTAGCCGTGAGGACAGCGTGGCTTACTGCAGAACGAGCTCGAGTAGGTCAGCTGCTTGCTGAGAATGAAAAATTGCACGCTGACCTGTCAGCCAGCAGAGCGGAGACAGCAGCCAGCAGAGCGGAGACCGACAACCTCCAACAAGAGTTGCAGGGGCTGAGAGAGACCACTCAGAGCGGACTCCTCGTTCAAGATTTGAGAGCTGGCTTAGGGCAGCTGCAATCGGCGCTACTTTTGGCTCATTCGACACCACTCACTCTACACCAGTCAGACCAATCCCCAGAAGCGCCTCAACACCAGCACCAGAACCAGATATAGAGTGGTCAGAATTTCAGATGTCGCCATTGGCCCTACCCTGTTCTTTCAACGAGAGCCTCCAAATTCCCCGTCAACGCCCAGATGTGAGCTTGCTTCATTTTGGCCCAGAAGACCATAGTCGAATCCACCAACAAAGCTTCGGCCAAGTTGGCAGATATGGATGCCTGCTCTTCAGGCACATTATCTCGGAGGAGAACTACCAGACATGGACCAAAACTACAAATTGGGATGGATCCAGAGGCAAATTAGAACTGCCTCAAAATGTGAAGAGTTTTGTGCTTGGCACACTGAAGAAACATTTTCCTGGCATGGACAGGGCAGAACTGAAAAAATGTGTGGACAAAATCAACGAATTTCTGCGTACAACACGCAGGAATCCCAAAGCGTTGACTCTGTAAAACACTGTACAAACACTTGGAAGTACTGTAACAATACAGTTATTACTTTATTATTTTTACTTACTCCTTATTTTGTAATTAAAAAAACACTTCTCAAACTTCTTCTTGTCAATTCAGTTCTCAAGATTCCTCACATTTTCAAAAGTACGCAACTGGTCATTGCACACACACTCAAAAAAATGATTCATTGGACTAACTCAATTTAATTGATGGTAGAAGTTACAACCAAAAAATATAGTTAATTCAAACTCAAATAATATAATTCTGTGTAAGTTTAAGTAATTTAGTTTGACCAACTATTTTTCTAATATTTCTAACTAACATAAAAGGCTTTGACAAAACATTATTAAAATTGGTTAGGTCAGGAAGTTAAAGGCTTGTACATGAACAAATATAAATGAGCTTCTTTGTCAGTGTTGGGCCAAAGTTATCCTATGAAATAGTGAAGCCAAACAATGTGAATGAATTTGATGAAAGAACTATAACAAATAATTAGGGCTATCATACAATAAAAAAAATTGAATTGAGTTAATTACAGCTTAAACATTTATTAATCGTAATTAATTGCATTTCAAACTATCGGTAAAATTATGCCATATGTAGCGCGAGCGGTGGGCGAACTATAAAGTGGTAAATTTAAAACCAACAACGCCACCCAGGTCTAGGACCTGGGAAATATAATTAACTTAAATAGAGCACACAGGTAAGTTTTAAGGAGGAGGCAGAGACAGTCTCATTCAATGGTGCAAAAGTTTTATTTTGATTTCACAATCAAAAGCTGCGTCCTAGTCGATAAAAATCACACGCGCACGAGCAAACACACCACACGCACACCATCAAGTACCGTATGGGTGGGTTTCACACCTCTTTCTCTTTCACTGGACACTCCTGTCACACGGCAAGGCGGTGGCTGTGTTTGGCCTTTAAAAATGCAAATTAAGTTCATGCAAACATTAGCAGAGCAATAATTGCTTCAGTGAAGGAAAAACATTTGTAGCCTACAGTAACAGTCTGCAGCAAAGTATAAAATATTGAATGTTGTTTAACAGAGACATCAAACCGTTTATAGCAGTCATTGAGCTCAAATGTCTCTGTAGCAGGTATGTCTCAGTTATTACTCAAAAGTTCCTTCTTACAAGTGGAAGGATATTTACTCAAAATAAAATGAAAATCACTTGAAATCAAATCAAAATGCCAAGCCAGAAAACTCATTGAGGGCGGACGTTGCGAAGAGTTCAGCTCAGAGTCGAGCGAGAAGAAAGATGTTGAGAAAACGGTAAAGCCCTGGAACCACGGCTGCCAGGTCTTTACCGTTTTTCTACGAGGAAATTCTTTACAGTGTAGGTACCAGCCGCGGCGGCAGGGATAGGCCTGGGTATACGCCGGTGCCTACCAGTTTTTTTCTTGGCCTACTCAAATTTGTTCTTCGCCTCTCAAGTCATTAGCCTTTTTTATTAAAAGTCATAATTTAAATATTGTTATTTTTATACACAAATTATTGGTAATGCCTAAATGTTTGCGTTCTAATGTTTTAAGAAAATATAACCCCCTGAGCGTCATCACGTTCCTACGTTGCTTCAAATATAGTCCTGTTTATTGGCTGAACAATTTTGTCCAATATCATAGATAGATAGATAAATGATAGATAAATGCTTTATTGTCAGATACAAGGATCCGAAATTTGTTTTGCAGTTCAGCAGCTCCGTAAAAATACAAACAAGACATACAGGTATAAGACAATTCACAAAGACATTATAAACAATTGTCCGCTCGCCATAACACACTTTGATTTTATGACTTAAGATCCTCGTTTAGCTTCAGGATGGACTTATGGACAAAGGAGTTCCTCAACCTGACTTTATTAAAATGTGGCACACGGTACCGCCGCCCTGATGGTAACAGCGCATATTCGAGGTTCAGAACATGGCCGGGGTCTGAAGTGATGTTCTTAGCCAGTCGCAGTGTGTTGCTATGGTATGCAGCCTCGTACAGTCCATCCAGGGGCTGTCCTACAATCTTTGAGCAGATTTTAATCAAGTGTCTCAGTCCAGATTTAGCAGTGACAGAGAGACAGCTGTACCACACAGCGTTACAGTACTGCAGGACACTGAGAATCACAGAAGTGAAGAACAGAAGCAACACCTGACGAGACGCTCCAAAAGACCGCAGGCGACGGAGGAAATATATTCTTTGTTTAGTCTTTTTACAGATGAAGTCAATGTGGTGTTTCCAAGACAAGGAACAGTCTAAGACCACACCCAGATATTTGAATGACTCCACCTGTTTGATTGGCTCGTTGTTGATGATAGTGGGAGCTGTGGTTACTGGGTTTAAACTAAATACCACCTCCTCTGTTTTTTTGGTGTTTATTTCCAGAGCGTTGTTTTTGCTCCAAATCACAACCTTGTCTATGCCCTGCTGGTGCAGCCCAGGACTGTCAGTATTTGACAGAAGGGTCACCAGGAACGTGTCATCCGAATATTTGAAGATGTGTTGATAGTTTGAAGTAGTCATATCACACAGCGTGAAGCTCGTTCCCGAGAACAACAGCTATTCCTCGTCTTAAAGATTGACAACGCTCTCAAAACATTCACAAAAGAGCAGCCTTTTTCATTTTAGTTTTAAGACAGTTCAGCGTGAACTTTGTGAGGTAGAGGAGCCAGAGGCCCGGGCCCGTAGGTCCCAGAGGAGGAGGGTCAGGCCAGGCTCGCCTCGCACTGATGAGGTAAACTCTAGGCCTGTGTGAGACACACTGTGGGCCTCATGTATGAAACCTGCGTACGGCCAAATCAGGGTGTAAATGAGGCGTACGCAAAATATTACACTTTTCCGCATTTATCTATCTGGACGTGAGCGTACAATACGCACAAAATATACGCCAGGTCTGGAGGTGGTGTAAATCTATACGCTGATCTCAACCTTCGGCACAACACGCCAAAACACGCATGAAATTCAAGATACGGACAACAATAAACATATTCCCTCTGGCAAAATTATATGCTGTGTTTTCATTGAGGATCATGTTTCAAAATTTAAATTTGCGCATCAGAAAAAGTCTAATGGAAACACGCAAACTTCGAATAAATCACAGCTCATGATGAGGACCCTCTATTAAATCTGACTTGTGTGTGTATTATTTTGATCTGTATGTTTTTAAAATGTGAAGCGCTTTGTGATCCTGGACAGTCAAAGGCTCTATATAAATACACTTTACGCAACAGGGATGTGTGACCCATCTATTGCTGTGGCAGGCTCTGCGCTGCGTAATTACGCACGGCTATTTGTATTCCTCATTCACATCTAAAGCAATGTGTTATTTCATTAGATTTGTGTAACCCTCACACAGACACACACCCCAATAACGCATCGATGGTATTGCTCACTCAAACGTCTCACTGCCCTGTCCAGAGTGCGCAGCGAGTGCCGTGAGAGGTCGCGCCACATGTGCAGAAGTTTTGGCTCCAGAGTTTCTTTGTGAAATCTGGACCGCAAACGCTCTCTGAAGTGTACAGCGCAATTGCGGTTTACAAAATAACAATTGTAAACCGCTTTGAGACTCAGCTCTGCAGTGAAAAGGCGGTATATAAATAATTACATAGATACATAGATACATAGCGCTTCAATGCGCACTTCTACCCCGAGCCAGGCTGCGTCCAAGACGCTGCACTGAAAAAAGTAATACATTGCTGTGTTTCATTTGATGTTTTTTTTTTCATCCTAATAGCCTAAAAATATTAAATTGTTAAGCAAAAATACATTTTGTAAATATGATGTCCCCTTCAATCTATTTTTGTAGATTGATATAATATAAAAGTATAATTTAACAATGAGATTAAAATTATACATTAGACCAAATTACTTTTATAAATCAAGCACAATTCGCGCATGCGCACACATGAATACAGAGAGAAACTTCTGGAAGTCGGCAGAACTTGAGAGGACGGTTGAAGAGGCTAAACTGGAGGACACTTTTGTCAGGTAAGGGAGGAATTCACCAAAATTGCACATCTTCGTTGTCCTTGTCCTTTATTTCAACTTACACTATAATTTTAAGGTGACTAGTTACATTTTTATAAGGTGATTGCGAACTGATAGCCAGGTTAGCTAAGCGTTTGCAGGATAGCCCGACCTAGCATTCAGTGGATAGCACTCTCGCCTCTCAGCAAGAAGGTCCTGGGTTCGAATCCCGGTCGGACCAGGGCCTTTCTGAGTGGAGTTTGCATGTTCTCCCCGTGTCTGCGTAGGTTTCCTCCGGGTACTCCGGTTTCCCCTACCACTAAAAATATGTACAATAGTTCAGGCATGCGCCTCCTGTACTGGCCGCTCCCATCTCTGTGTGGAGTGAGAGACAAATGCCCAAAATTAACAATTGTAAACCGCTTTGAGACTCAGATCTGCAGTGAAAAGGCGGTATATAAATAAAAACTTACTTACTTACACATGCGCAGATTTAAGTTTTCATAACGTACATTTTGGCTTTAGCGGAATAGCGTTACCTTGGTGCCATTTTACAGCTAACAAATGATAGCTGGCAGCTATGAACATGCTAACGTTAACTTCACGATACAGAAAACCCGCCAGAATGTTCTCGCAGGCGTTTAAGTTAGATGCAGCAGTTGACGAGAGAATGAGACTTTGTGCCTCCTGTGTGTAATTTATAAAACGTAAGTTTTGATGATTGAAACCTAAATGTGTGAAAAAAACGTTGTACTGCTGTTTATGATATTATGGTCAAGATTGCTATCTGAATGAGACGTTATAATTATACAGGACGTATTATCACCCTGGGTGTGTATGTGACTTAATATTCATTTCTGTACACACTAAAACGGTGATTTACCTTGACGAAAAGAGCTGTAAAAACTGTATCAAGCCTTGATTCTTGATTCACGTTAGGTTACGTTGATCTTAATATTTTGTATAATACTGTGGTCTGTCCCAATGCTAATTGCAGTTGTGGTGTTCTAGACTCTGCGTGCTCCTTGATGCTTTATTCCTTATCTCAGTGTCTCCCAAAGTGGGGTCCGCGGCCCCCTGGTGGGCCGCGAGGGTACTGCAGGGGGGCCGCGGGAGGTCATAAAAAAAATAAAAAATAAATATAATTTTTTAATGTTAAATTTATAATGTTTTGTTTGTAATATTAAAATATTTGTGTTCATTATTTGACTTGAATAATCCACTGTAATCATTTTTGTATTACAATGTTTGTAGCAGAGGCTATTTCCCCAAAATAAAATAACCAGAAGAGCCTATTCTTAATGTTGTCTTCTTGGTTATTATTTTGGGGGGCCACGCAGACCCGTCAGATTTTTAAGGGGGCCTCGGTGTTACTGAGTTTGGGAATGGCTGCCTTATCTAATTGCTTCTAAGCAGTTGAAAAGTTTATTGGTTTACATCTACCCTATTTCAACATGTGGGCGCGACCATTACTGCAGGGATGAGAATTGTCCGTGTTTTGACGAAATTACGACGTTTTCTCGCTGAAAATGGACCTCCGTGATTTTGTTCTAAAGTACATTATTAAAAGTATATGTACCATTTTCATCACAAACAATTTGTTAACAGGCGGGCGTAAGGGCGGCATTGTACGCTGTGGGGGTCCTTAACACATTTGACGGAAATGGCAAATACTAAAGCGTAGCCTTAAACTGAGTGAGTCAGACACAGGGAAACACTGGAAAATACTGTCGAGGTACGCACGCGTTCACCTGCTCATTCTGTGCAAGACGAGAGCCCGTTGTGTGTGCGGCTCTGAGCGGAGATGTCTGTGAGGCTGTGAAGCAAATGGGTGTGCGCGCTCCTATTGTCATAGTGAATTATAATTATGAATTATGAGCAGAAGTCACCAATTCTTAGTGTCTTTTTATAAAAAAAAAGGTCGATGCTGAAGGGGGGCGCTTTGCATTAATTGGCTGACATCTCAGACTTTTTTGAAATGTCCTACTCTCATCCCTGTTATTGAAACAGCGTCTGGCGCCAGCTATGCCTAGTAATGGTCCAGTGGATATAATACAGCGCTTGACCTGGGTTCAAGTCTGGGTCTTTGGAATTGTTTTGATACTAGCATGCACAGAAAACATCATGCCGCTTTGATTGATTGGCGTTTTAAGATATTTCATAGTAACACTGAGTGTCAAACACGTCTTAGACGTCTCGTGTTTTGAAAAGCGTAGTCAGCCACTATCCAGATTTATAAAATGTAATGATCAGTCGACAACAATAGTGACAATACCACCATGACAGATAAATTCTTAATAATCTTTTTTTAGGATTATGAAAACTCAATTGTCAAAAAAAAAGGTTTGAGAGCATACCCCGTCAGTGTGCAAAATCAAATTTTATTCCAATTGTTAATTATATCATTATATTAATTAAATAATGTTAGTCTATTTTTGATCTGTAAATTGTATACTTGTATGTCTAAAAAATAGGGAATACAAAAATGAGGGTAATTTTTCCCTCTTGACTAAACTTTTATTTCAATGTGTGTTAAATGTAAAATTTGTGAAAGAAGACATGCATTTCGACTTTGAAACTGAAACTGTTTTTATGTTTGAATTTTAAGGAAGAAGCTGATTGGTTGGCTCATTTCCTGATTCCCTTGTAGTGGCCGAGTCACTGGTACCTGCCTTATAGTTTTGACACTGGTAAGTTCTTTTTTTCATTGTGTCTTTTCCTTGTATAAGATGAGTCAACCACAATTTATTCTGTGATGAAAAGGTTATAATTTCATATTGGACTGGGAAGAATTTGGCCTAATTGATTGATTTAATTGATAAGATTCAGATTAATTTATTAGCCATTTGCAGTCAAACTACATTGGCATACATCTGTAAAAGCCCCCAGTGTGGATAAAAAAAACAAGGTTAAAAGTATAGAAATAAAACAGTAAACTATTAACACTGTGAAATTGATCAATCTAAAACAGTTTTAATACGAGTGCAAGATCATGAAAGTGCTCTATTAAAATTGATAACAGCTTGTGGAAAGAAGCTGTTAGCGTGTCCTGCATCTCAGCAAACAATATCTTCTGCCAGAGTTATGAAAGCTTTTCCAGGGTGGACAGAAAATTGAATATTTTAAGAGCTCTGTTTAAAGGTCTGGATTTATAAAGAACCTCCATAACAGGGCGCTCACAGTCCTCTGTGCAGAGCGGAGCACCTTGTTTAGCGCTCTTTCTTTGTCTGTGATGTTACCAAACCACACAGTCACAGAACCAACAAGCAAACTCTCAATGGTCCAGCTTATGTGCTGGGAATTGTGACATTTTACTACCACACACTAAAATATTTGCAATTTGAGTTATGCTTCAATCTGGTAACTAAAGATGTGTTTTCCATGATGTGTCCTCTTTTCTCAGTTCTCGGATCATGTGGAAATGCAAAGACTGTTTCAAATAGAAGAGGTCAGTTTTGGTGCAAAACTATGTCGATTCTCCCTTTTGTATTCAAAACAGATTTTCTGTGTAATATAATTACAGCTTGGGCACTATTTCCAATAGCCAACGTTAATCCCAAACTCTTTGTATGTTCTGCTCATTTTTTAGATCAGTGCAGAGTTTATGAGGATCACTACAGTGCCCTTGGAGACCAAATTCATACAGGAGTTGGACAGGCATTCCACAAAGATAGTGCGGATCATACGGAACAAGGGTGGCGTAATAAAAGAAAGGACTGGCCGTATCCTGCAGACTTTAGATAAGGTATGTACAGTTACGGCAGAGTTAGACCGAGTCAAACATGTAAGGGATATTAGACACAGTGAGTCTATCCTATTTATTCACCCAGTGTTTCAATGTACTTTTTGTCTGGTAAATAAGAACATGTAATTTCATGAATGCATTTGGTTCAGGGCGTGGACGTCAATACAAGGAGGGAATCGGTTCTGAAATGTTTGGTCCACTACTTTGGTGAATCTGTTCACCACCTCATCAAAGAAATCCAGGTACATGCATTGCTCAGCCATCCATGCACAAACACATACTTAGTACCAGGCCTGAACTGTTCATCGGACGTACCCATTTTTTTGCCGGTCTGCCTGCTGCATACAAAAAATGAAAAGATAATTTTCTCTCTGGTCTCTTTCTGGTCCCTCTCTAGTCTCTCTGGTCCCCTCCTGGTCTCTCTGGTCCCTCTCTCTGGTTCCTCTCTCTAGTCTCTCTGCTCTATGGTCCCCTTCTGGTCTCTCTCTGGTTCCTCTCTCTAGTCTCTCTGGTCTTTCTGGTTTTTCTCTTTGGTCTCTCCCTGCTCTCTCTCTCTCTCTAGTCTGTGGTCTCTCTCTCTGGTCTATCTCTAGTCTCTCTCTGCTCTCCCTCGCTCTCTGGTCTTCTTCTTTGGTCTCTCTTTCCAATCTCTCTCTAGTCCGTCTCTCTCCCTCTGGTCTCTCTCAGGTCTCGCTCTACTCTCTAGTCCCTCTCTGGTCTCTCTCTAGTCTGTCTCTGGTTTCTCCCTCTCTGGTCTCTCTCTACTCTCGTTTCTCTCTGGTTTCTCTCCTCAGGTCTCTCTATACTCTCTAGTCCTTCTCTAGTCTCATTCTCTGACTCTCTTGTTTCTCTCTCTCAGGTGTCTCTACTCTCTAGACCCTCTCTGGTCTCTCTCCCTTTTCTCTCCCTTTTCTCTCCCTGGTCTCTCTTTAGTCTCTCTCGCTCTCTTTCTCTCTCTCTCTCTCTCTCGTGTCTGTGGTCTTTCTCTCTGGTCTATCTCTAGTCGCTCTCTGGTCTTCTTTGGTCTCTCTCTCTGGTCCCTCTTTTTTCTTTTTCTCTGGTCCCTGTAGTCTTTGGTACAGAATAAGCAGGCGTGTCTCTCACACATTCAGTCTGGTCAGCATTCCTTACTTTGTTTTTTGTTGCCAGGATATGCCAGGTGATGGACTGGAGCTGGGTGGAATGGCTGTCTTAATCAGTGACACAGACACCAAGGTTCTTATTGAGGGCACGGAGGTCCTCAGTAACTTGCCCGCAACTGCTGTGTTATTTGGACTGACATATGTGCTAAACCTTCAATACCCAAAAGAATTGAAGTTCACTTTTGAGTTTTTCCAGAAGGTTTTAATGGACGCTAGAAAGATGAACCCAAAAATGTGTCGCTTCTGTACTCTGCTGCACAATAAGCAGATATAGGTGCACTATAATAACTCTTTAGATAGACTGATCCAATCATACGTTTGTGTTTGTGTATATATAATATATATGTAACTCACCTTTCGCCCTCGTGGGTCGTTATCCCTCTCTCTAAGCTCGGGTCCTCTACCAGAGGCCTGGGAGCTTGATCTTTGCTGTTCCTAGCACTGCACATGTCTGGACCGAGATGTCCAAAGCTGTTCCAGGGATTCGGGGTCACTGCCCCGAGTGCACCGATCACCACGGGCACTACTGTCACCTTTTCCCTCCAGGCCCTCTCCAGCTCCTCTCTGAGACCTTGGTATTTCTCAAGCTTGTCGTGTTCCTTTTTCCGGATGTTACAGCGGATCCCTGGAACAACCTCGGACATCTGGGTCCAGAAATGTGCAGTGCTAGGAACAGCAAAGATACTGCACAGAACCCTCAAGCTCCAAGGCCTCTGGTAGAGGACCTGAGCTTAGAGAGGGATAACCGCCCACGAAAGGTGCTCTGTGTGTGTATGTGGGGGTGTGTGTGTGTATATATGTATGTATATGTATTTATGTATGTAAATAAATATAATATATGTATGTATGTATATAGATATGTGTGTGTATATTATTCATTTAATCACATTTTATTCTGCAGTAATTGCAGCTCTGTCTGCAATGAACTGATTTGGTGCTAATTATAAAAAACATGTTTGAGCAAAGAACTGTTGTAACAGAATTTACTGTTGAATGTTTTTCTAAGACAGAATTTACAGTTTTTTTTTATTTCTAAAAGAATGTGCTTTTGTGTGACAGGGCGACAGTAGCTCAGTTGGTAGAGCATTGGCCTTAAGGCCAGAAGGTCGTGGGTTCAATTCCCACCTCTGCACCTTCTCCATCGACTCCCACTGGATGACTGCTGTCGTTGTGTCCTTGGGCAAGACACTTAACCCCACTTTGCCCAAAAGCCCCCACTGAAAGATCAAGGCTATGCTCGCACTCAAAGAGCAGCCGTCCTCCTGTGGACTCACCACCTGCAGAGGATCAGTGAGGGGCTGGTGCTATGAGACTTGGGTGGCATCTCTGACTGCCACCCCCCTGACCCAGAAATGGATTAAAGGGCAGAAAATGGATGGATGGAAGAATGTGTTTTTAAAAAGTTGACGTGTGTAATCTTAACAGTGCATTCATACATTTAATAAATATTGAAAAGAATGTTTGGTCTGAGTGACTTCTTAGGGAAAAAATATTGAGAGTCTAAAATTACTAGATTATGCCAATTACTAAACCTTGCAATAAATACATATTTCACATTGTATAAAACTTAATTAAGATTTACTCTGTAAAACCCCTTTTTTTTACATTCAAGCCAATTTCTTTTTTCAATTTACACCAAGTTCAGAAAAGAGTTTGTATGAAATGCATGCATTTTTCTTATTTGAGCCAATGTAAAATATGTATTTGTACCAAATTAAGAAATTGCTGAAATTTAGATTGAACTGAATGGCTTCTGAACCTTAGGTCAATGTATAATCTTTATTGTGAATGGTTACTCTACTTTTTTTAAGTTGATCCAATGTTTCATTTTTTTCAGTGTGCAGACGCTTCATTCAGAGCCACCGCTGCATAATATATATGAATTATTCATTCATTCAATCAATCTATATTTATTCACTTCTACAATTCAAGAGAGATTTTTCTAATGTATCAAAACATTGTAGCAAATTTGTTCAAAACGCAGCTGAATATATAGAGTATATTTATTTTTACATAAACATGAACAAACAAACGTCCCTTTTGAGGCTTCCAAACAGTCTTTTAGGCCGGCTTCCTGCTGACCTGTCACGAAGACGGGGCGTGAAACACGCGATTGCTGCATAATTATAGGTGTGACTTTCATAAATATTTTCGTATTCAGTCGATTTATCAACACCCGCAGCTGCGTACGCTCAGATCTGGGCGGATCTCACATGTTCATAAATCCGACAGTGGATTTTGAGTAAATGGAATATACACCCAAAATGTACACCTTTTTCTACGCAAGTTTCATAAATGAGCTTGTGTGTATGTGCGCGCGTGAGTGTGTGTGCGTGCGTGTGTGCGTTTGAGCCATATTCTTTGAAACCCCAATTCCAGCTAGCCTTTGTAGTTTGCAAGCGAATTTGGCCTACTTACTAATCTGCAGGCCTACCCAAAATTGCAAACCTGGCGCCGCTACTGGTAGGTACATTAGGGCCTCACAGCAGAGGCCTAAAGCAGGGGCCTCATTACTTTAATACTTACAGTCTGTGGTAAATACACGGGCTACAGGTGTTACACGTGCTTAGACTAGACTTGTATGTGTAACATTCAAAATAGATTGAGTGAATATGCCCTTTTCCTCATTTAGTGGTTTGCGGAGGAGAGAGCAGCGAGAGAAGTTTGGCAGGGGAGGAGCCGTGTGGAGTTAAAATAAATGAATTACAGCTTGCTAAATTATTTGAAAGCATCTTCATTATGATTGTTATATTTATGTATTTATTATAAATGTTAGAGATGCCAGAGAAAAGGCGTCTGCTTTTTTTCTGAGTGGGAGGAGACACCAGCGGAGCTGTTTGAGTCAAATAACGTTCAGCGTTATATTACCAATAGTTTCTCTTTCCATAACGATATTCTCTCTTTTTGGAAAGATCACCAACGTGATGCAAAAGTTTACGTTATATGCAGTTTTAATGTCTGCGGGTTATTCCAGAGACTGGCCTGCTACAAAGAGTTGCCCGTTTTAACCAGATTGTCGATGTGCGCGGGGCAGAAACTCATAGGCGACGGATATAATCAGTCCGATGTACAGTACGCTAGGCTTAAAGCCACAGATAGTTGTCCGGTGAAGAGAGAAGAAAGAGCGATGAGACGCCAATGTAACCCTGCTCACAAGTGCCACCTGGTGGTTGTTTTGGTCATTGCAGCGTCACTGATGCATCAAGCATCAAAGCAGATGTTGATGCTTGGCTTGGTCAGGACCAGGGCTGGAGGATTTTGCCTATTGTACTTGCTTTTAGTGGGAGCTTTAACCGGAGCGCCAGGATTAAACGCACGGAGATAGGATAATAGCAAGCAAACTACGCTCAGCCCACACTTGAATATAAGCCGCAGGTCTCAATGAAGCAGACAAATGATGTTTTAACTGAAGTGTTTAACGGCTTAATCGCTAGCTTCCATGCCGGTACTGTTTTGACAACAAACAAGTGTCCTATAGCCACTAAAACTTGGTCAAAAGAAATTCATAAACTCTGCTCCAAGAAGTCAACCACAATGAAAATACACACATTAGGCGCATTGCTACATAAGTCTCATGTTTCAAACTATGACAGTAGCGGCTTCTAGTCCAGATATTATGGTAATTTTGTTTTAAAATAGATGATTTATCAGTGTTAATTGGAACACAGTATATGTTTCTTCTAACCCAAAATGTCTTCATATTTCTGTCTAGCAAATAGACCACAAGCAGCCGCTGATATGTGTAATCAGTGACTGTACAGTGAGGGATTCAGAAAAATACTGGGTCACTAATGAGCTGGGAGTGAATTAACTTTGTACTTTTCTGTTTTTACCACGACCTAAAACGAGCAGCATAAACTAGGACTGACCCCAGAAACAGATGTTCTGAAGAGCAAAATGTATGTCAAGTTGAAATTAAGTTTCTGGTGACTTCAATCCAAGAATTTCAAGAACGGCTCTAAACAAGCTCACCTACAGTACGTGTGTGTGAGTTTATTGGATTATGTCGTTTGCCTGATTCTTGGTAGCAGCAGTTGAGAATGTGGCGTTGAACTGAAGGTCAACAAAATACTTTCTTTCCAATTATCTTGTTACTTTTAACTAGAAAGGTACAATAAAATGGTTTCAAAAACATTGTATAAGCGATATTAAAGGGACACTGATTCTTATTTCAAGTTATATCAAGATCTTTTATCTGCGTGCACATAAAAGAAAAAGAAATACTACTCATAACCGCAATAGTGCTGAAGAAAGGCAGGCCTATAGCACGACGCTACCACTCCCATATTTGAGATTGTGCATTGAGCACTCAAGGTTTGTGAGAAATGCTAGTTTTTAGCCATAAATTATGGTCAAAATTTACCTTTTGTCAACATCTGATCACTGCACCACCTTCCATAATCTTCCGCTTTTCTATTTCTGTTTCAGTTTAAATTTCTGGTCAATCTAATCAATTTTATTATAGAGCCCACACTCAAGGTGATTTACAATAAAACCACATAAAATATTAAAACATCCATGCAATCAAACAGTAAAACTGTTGAAAAGTAGTAATGAATTTTCAAAGTGTTATAAGCCAGTCAGAATTAATGAGTTTTGAGCCTCGATTATTAAAAGGCTAAAATCAGTGAGCACTCATAAATCAGGGGGCGGCTTGTTCCAGAGTCTGGGTCCAGGACTGAGAAGGGCCTATTTGTTTTTTTAACAAATAAACAAATCAGCAAATATTTGTTTATTGAGCAATTTGTTCAATGTTTGCCCCATGAACAGTTTTGCAGCTCCTCCAGATTCATTCGGGATTCCAGTCAATACTCTACTTGTTTTGCGCATTAGTTTAGGTCGATTGCCGTGTATTGGTATGTTTGCAGTGCGGCTTTACCTCAGTGGCTTTATCTGCCTGGTCTCTCATGCTGATAAACGCCTGCAGCTCTCTTTCTGACGGACGTCTCTTGGCGCCTCCTCTATGTCTTTTATGGCTGGAGCGGCGTTGTCCCAGACGCTTCTGCTCTTGCGGGGGGCGGCTCCGGGGGTTCTTCTGAGGCGACTGAGGCCCAAAGAGGCTTTCCTCCTCTGGGTCACTGTCGGAGGATTCACTGGACTGCAGCTCCTGAGGCTGAGAGGCTGCGGTAGTGGATTTAGAAGTCTGCGTGCTCCTGCTATGGAACAAGATAGGGTATTTTCAAGGTGGGACAAAGATACAAGTGCATGAAGTACATGAACTTTGGGTCAACAATACAGGGAAGAGGAAGAACAAGGAATATTATTAAAAGCAATTATTACCTGTTTATTTCAATTATTTTTGTGACTACTGAAATGTGCTTGATTTCACCCATGTCTTAATCAAAGATTACAGGAAACTACAATTTATCTGGTAGAATTCAATATCCTAAAATATGACTGATTTGTGTGGGTCTATCTTTTTGCTAATGTTCTAACAATTGGAGGGGGGCCTGGCTCCAAAAGGTCCATGAGCAAATGCTGCAATCTCACTCCTTGCTGATGGGGGTGTACTCGGAAAGACAATCACCTAATGCGTCTTCTTTTCTCTCAAAAACATGATGGTCCAAAAGTGGCTCTTGGCCCAAAGCTATGTTCCAGATGCTGTTGATGCTGAGGGGAGTATTTTTTTTTTTGGACCAGTCTAGTTTAGCTGCTGTGGACTTTTGAATGTACTTGTTAAATGAATGGGGCTCATGCAGCTTACGCATTTTCCTGCCCACAGAAGGCAAAAGCAGTGGCACTTTAGTTTCCACGGCAAAGATAGGTGTGACTACGTCCGTTGATATTTACAGTCTATGGTTGGAACATTGCGTTGAAATGGTATAAACATTTCCAAAATTCCCCACTTCAATTTCCATGACTAAACTCAAAGCTCCATGATTCTTGCCCGGAACACCTCTCCAGAGCCTGTTCCACCAAGAGCAAGTCCCTGGAAAGGAATCCTTGATACCCAAGAAAAAAACTGCCCATGACTTTAGAGGTTAGGGTTTGGTTATGTATCCTAACTACTTAACAAGCAGAAATCCATCCATTTGTAATCTTTTTCATGTGATGTATATGATTTCAGAAGTGACACATGCCATCATTACACAAAAGAACTCACTGCAGAGTCTCCCAAAAAAATATTATGAATTTACTTTGTATTATTATTATTAGTGTACGTTAGTATTATGAACTTCTACATTTCACTGGAAAAAAGAAAAATGTACTTTATATGAAAATAATTATAATACTGCTTAAAAAATGTTTGAAAATAGAAGGAAATATGACTTGACAAGATTTCTGAAAATATGAAAATACAGTAATACTAGCCCCAAATTAATTGATTCTAGTTAGATACAAGATTTCAAGTATTATTTATGTATTTTTTAGACATTTTTGAGAAATGTTTTCTTAAAAAATAGCATCACAAGCTCATTATCTAAACAAGAAAAGTTGTCTGGAAAAAAGAAAAAATACTAAAACAGGCTAAAAACTCACTGCTCAGACTTATTCTAAAACTAATAAAACAATCTTACATGCCAAACTTCATTTATGCAACGAAAAAATTGCCATTAAAAAATAAGCATAAGTGATATTTTTAGTAAATAAATCAAACCAAGTGTATCCAGTTTCTCCTCATGTGTAGCAATATATTCCACACTAGTGTCAAATATACAACATTTAACGCCTGACCACTTTCTACACCTCTTGCTTTCAACACAGATTCCCAGCTTAAAACTCACCGTAAAATGGCACTTTTCTCCTCATGACTTTGTGTCAGATAGAAGCGACAGCAGCACAGCGTCAGGCCAGCTCCCATCTCTTAGGCCCATAAGATATCACAAAGTTCTATAAAGTCTGGATCCTCCACTAGGACATGTTCTCTACTGTCCCTAATACGAAGCATATTTGTGGCAGTCTCATGTTTGCAGTTGTCCCGTCGCTCAATTACATTATCCACGTGAGGCGCCCAGGACGGCCCAGGAATCAATGGGTTTGATTCAGGGAGCGAGCAGAAGCAGAGGCAGAGGTAGAAAACTGCTAATACAAAAAGTCCTGTATCAAATTAATATTTACCAGGCACGAACATGTATGCTATTTTGGATAGTTCTTTATGTAATGGTCAACTAGAGTGGATTTATCATGAGAAATGGGATATAAATACGGATAATCTAGGAATCTATATCACAACAGAAGTTATCTCACAAGACTTAAAGCAGCTGTATGTAAAAATCTGGCCAAAAGTGGTATTGGTCTCTCCCTGATTCAGGTTGCCAGATATGCAGATTCCTTGTTTTGTTATTAATGATTTGAGAATCTTAACAAGACCTTTTTTAGTTCCGCGGTGTTACTTTACCAGTGAGATCAGCTCGAAGTCAGAAGGACTTTCTGATTGGTGAAACGGTGGAAGGCGGGACATCGAAATGAAAAAAACAATAACAAGATTTACAGGCTGCAAATCTAATTTGACATTTCAAATATCTCTGCTTAACTACTGCAGAAAAGTAGTATTTGAAAAGAGCATAGTTTATTAATACCTTTTGACAGATTAGGGCCCTTTAATGATGACATGACATGAAATTCTTACATAATGCTCCTTTCAAAAAAACTTATCAAACAATACAGTCAAAATGTGAGACAGACTTCAACTCTGACCATGTTCAAATCCAGGTTAAATCAGTCTTTGTTATAACTGAAAGACATTATCTGCACAACTTTTCAAATAGATATAATGTAATAATGTATTTTTTAATTTTCAAATACAATTAATGTTTACGTAGTAGACATAAAATACCTGTAACATCTGTAACAAAGTAAAATCAATTATGCCTCAAAGGGAGTGGGAATCCTTGTGCATGAATTGTGATATACAAATAAACTTGCCTTGCTTTGCCTTGCCATTATATTTTTTTTGTAAAGCAGGGCTGTTAGGATTAACTTTCTCTTTCCCATTTTTAACAGAAATATGAAAGTAACAGAACTCCCAGGAGCGCCATTTTTATCTGCTCCCATTTGACCCAACGGAATTTTGAGAAATTCCCCTTTATTATCATCCAGATCAACACAGACAATAAAGATCAGCAGCGAGGTTTCCACAGCAGCGAGGTGTAACAACAAAACTTTTCCACTACAATGGCTCCAGTTTTGTTTTTGCAAAACCTTTTTCTCCCCCAATTTATAAAAAGTATTTTATTTATCACCTCACTCACTTTTATTGCAAAACTGGTCGTCTCAAGATGAAAATCCAGCTTCTATACATGTCATACACTTCTCTTTAGTTCCAGCAGAGGGCGTCAGATATCCAGCCATTATCACAGGAGTAGACGTTCATATACACATACCAGGACAAAACAACAGTGCATCACACTTGGCACTTCCTTTTTTGGATCATAAATGGTAATGATTGTCTTTGAAAAGTTGTAAATCTTTTCCTGCATTGTACAAAGTGTGATCCCAGAGCTCGAAGGCTCAGGACTATTTTAGAATTGGCAGCGAAAATGTATTTGCTGTTATTTGTGTTCATTAATATCAGCTTGTATGAATGCAGTGGGTGAGTCTTAATGAATGATTTTGAATTTGCATTACTGTAATTAAGATGTTTTCTTTCTGCAATGTCGCTTATAGTGTCGAGGGTTTAGATCTCAAGTATGACTACACAAAGTACCACCGCATGGAAGAGGTCAGAAACCACTTTTATTTAGGTCATTTTACGTCTATTTCTTTGTTTTTGACTGTTTTTCTCTACACAGATTTATGAGTGGATGCAGGACATGGAGGAGATGAATCCAGAGCTGATTTCTTCTACAGTTTATGGGCAAACGTTTGAAAGGAAAAACATCACGCTTATGAAGGTTTGTCATGTGTCTGATTTTTATTACAATAACTACATGAAAAAAAAAATACTTCCTGCTTTGCTGCAACATTTTATGGTCTTGTTAGTTTTCCACCACCGGTACTACAATGGAGCATAGGATGAGGTTAACATTTTTAAATTGAAGATGCTGGCTGAGAGGATAGCACTTTCGCTTCTCAGCAAAAAAAGTCCTGGGTTCGAATCTTGGTCAGAATAGTATCTTACTGAGTGGAGTTTGCATGTTCTCCCCGCGTCTGCATAGGTTTCCTCCGGTTTCCCCTACCTCTAAAAACATGTACAATAGTCTGGCATGCGCCTCCTGTACTGGCCCCGCTCCCATCTCTGTGTGGAGTGGGAGACTAATGCCAAATATAACAATTGTAAAGAGCTTTGACTCTTTTCTGAGAAAGGCGATATATAAATAAAGATTACTTACTAAGATATTGTGAGGAAAAGTCAAAATATCAACTTTGTAAAATCATAAGAAAAAATACAAATACAAATCATTAAAAAAAATACAAATTGTCTAAGTGGAGACAATGGAGCACCAGTATACTGTATTACAGTATATTATATACTGCAATTTCTGGACTATTTGATACATTGCAAAAATGAATAAATATTAAGTAATAATTGCTTGTTTTTTATCTTAATTTGAGTACATTCTGACTGTGTTAAGAAAAGATTACCAGTGGGACCAAGCCATTTAGTTTTATTTAAAGAACTGTTGCTTTATTTTCTCATTCCAAAACAGACATTTCTTGTATCTGTTTGTAGCTGGGCCTGAAAAACCCGGAGGGGCGGGAGAAGAGAGTGATCTGGATGGACTGTGGGATCCATGCTCGAGAGTGGATCGCTCCCGCTTTCTGCCAGTGGTTTGTCAAAGAGGTCGGGAAAATACGAGAAAAGTTAATGAAGCTAAATCAATCCCTGAGCTGTTTATATTCTCGCTCTTCAGATAGTGCAGTCCTACAAAACCAGTGTGGACCTCCAGACCATGTTACAGAACCTGGACTTCTACGTGACTCCGGTCATCAATGTAGACGGGTACATGTACAGCTGGACGGACAACAGCGTGAGTTAAAAATAGCTTTTTAAAAACATCCATCCACCCATTTTCTTCCACTTCATCCGTTGCCAGGTTGCGGGGCAGCAGTCCAAGCAGAGACGCACAGACTTTCTATCCACTCACTCTTCCTCCAGCATGTCCTTTTTTTTAAATGTGACATTATTGTTCCCTCGTCAAATACAGACCTGGAGTGACCCATATTTCAGGAACTTCTGGCACAAACATGTTACTTTGTCCATTCGGTCTAAAATCCTCTGTCTCAGTCTCAGGTGATAGTATGATCTCATTTTACGACAGTTACATAGAGCTGGTTTCTGTCTTGTATAAAAATCATATCGGCCAACATTTTGTTTTGCCAATTTCTGAAGTGAATTGACAACGGCTGTGTTTGCAGCTGGTAATTGTCAAATAAAAAAAAAGAAAACAAAATGTCTGCCCTTGGTGGTAGCTTAGGGAGTTACAGGCAGAAAGCATTGTTTACTCTTCACACTTGTATCACCAAATATTGTTTCACATTCAAAAACGTGAAATTACAAAGGAAATATTATCATTAAAAATAATGCACAATATATATTCTTTAAGACATTGTCAATATGTTTTTTCCCATAATGTGATTATTTGTCATCTATGTCCTCTGCAAAGAAGCACCACTGGAAAAAGTGTTAAAGCATAAATTTCAAGTATCATTTACATTTTTGATAAATGTTTTTTTCAATAAACAAGAAAAGTCGGAAAAAACAATACTTAAAACAAGCTTAAAAACTCACTACTCAGACTTTATTCTAAGATTATGAAGTATCTTATGTGACAAACTAAATTCAAGAAAAAAAAACGTGCCATTATAATAAAAAAGCTTTATTTATCTATTTTTATTAAATAAATTTTACCAAGATTTTACTTTTTCAGTGATAAGGCTGTAAACTCCTCACACACACTGTACACGCTTGTACACTTGTTTAACCAATAGAATGTTGAATGTTCCAATCATTTGCTCCGTAGACTCGAAGGTGGAGAAAGTCCCGCTCGTCTCCTCCGGCAGGAAGTGGTTGTTACGGCGTCGACCTCAACCGAAACTTCAACGCCAACTGGGGAAGTGTGTACGATAAAGCTGCAGAAAATGTGTAGTTTTTCTGATGGTGTCTGTGGATGGGAAAATGAATGTCAAACTGTGGAAGATACAGACAAAACTATAATATTTAGAAAGACCTAAAGAACCAAAAGCAGACTCTAAACAGCTTGTTCATACATGGCAGATGCAATCAATACAGAGAAAACACTTTTAATACTCTTAACGTGACATAAGACATTCAGTTTTAGGACCCATTTTGATATTTTATTAGCCTGGTCCTACCATACCATCGTACTCAAATCGTGTCGTACTAAGGTCTGGATTTGCTCCATTGAGCTCCGTTAACAGGTGGGAGGGGTTAAATCCTTTTGCAGATTGAAACGATTGGATCTAAAGTTACCATGACATACGGTATGTAGTGCACCTGAGTGAGTGAGGCGTTTAGCATTTAGCCTAGCTTTAGCCATTTTCTTTGCCACTAACGGAGCCCCTTTGCTAAACATTCCTCTTCTGGCTTAAATGTTGTTCTTTATATTTGGAGCTGAATCAGAACGGATTACTTTGCTATCGCATTCTCCACCATTGCCAAACTACAACCAGCAAATTCGGCGCAAACTCTTGACGTCACCAACACCTGCCTCCCCCGCTCGCTAGCCCTAACTCTAAGACCCTAAACCCTAACTCCGTCAAAAACAACTGAGTGTACTACATTATAAACATTCTCTTGTTTGACTAAGATATGGCTACTAAAAGACAAGTTTGCACACACGTTGTAGTGAGTGAGTGAATGTATGGATGTGGGCAATATTTTAGTAGAAATTGGGGAACTGTATTTTGATTGATAGTTATGTTTTGAAAATAATGTTATCTAAAGTATGTAAGAGTTAGACACGGTCATGTATCTATATACATTAGAATCAGTCCAGAGGATAATTAGCATGGAAAATAGCATCTTTGCTATAACCTGGTACAATGCATCTCTCCTTTGTGTTAATGTATATTTGTACACTATGTATCAGCCATGGATTATGACTGAAAGATTGAAGAATGATCCATAAAAATTGCTGAACTGGTTGTTTGCAGCCGTTGGAGTGTCCTTTGAAAGCTGTTCTGACATTTACTGTGGGACTGGACCAGGGTCTGAACCAGAGGCCAGGGCTGTTATGGACTTTATCGGTAACTAATCATACAGTACTTTCATCACATATCATTACTTATGTTCCTAGTTTCATTGTTTGTTTTTTTAACAGGTGAAATGTCGGAGAAAGTCCTCTGCTTCCTCACTATTCACTCTGCAGGACAACTCATCCTACTGCCTTATGGACATCCGCAAATCAAAGCTCCCAACTATGAAGAGCTTGTGAGTCTTATTATAGGAGAGATTGGCAATTCTCCAACAACACATCGTACAATCAAAAATGACAAAGACATATGAGCCCTTGGTCCAGAGGGAGATGACCCAAAGTCCATTAATGTTAATTAATGTCCATGAATGTTCTTTAATGCATTCTATTACATACGCAAAAAGAAAATATTTAAAAAGATACGTCGCCAAGGCATGTTTCAGGAACCTGCAGAAACATGCTTGTAAATGTTGAGGTCTTTCATATTAATCTTTTGAGAAATTGAGAATAATAATTTATCCCAATTGTGTATATAAACGACAGTAGTTGCTGGACCATAAGTAGTTCTTTAAACCAACATGTGGGCACGTTCACATAGAGACGTGGCCAATTTATTTAGATTTTATGAAGAGCGTTCCCTCCGGTGCTGAAAGCGACTGGACACAGGTTTTAGGGAAAATGCAAATTCTAAATACATTTTTTATGTGATTAGGGCTATTGTCAGAGCTGAGTGATTAATTTGATCCATCAAGTTTAAGAAGGAATGTTATTGTCATAGACCTAGTTATTAAATCATGTGGTGACCCGGTCAAACAATGGTCTATTGTCTATTATTTTACTCCATCAGCTGTTGGTTATGAGGTGCAACATGTAAATATAAACCTGGGTTATAATACTGTATGTACCTGTGGTCTACATGTGGACAAAATTCACATTCTTTCATAATTTAGCTGGCGCGGTTTGTAAAAGTGAGCCTACAGTCAAGAAAATATCTGTGAAATGTAATAATCAAGCTAACTCATTTGGTGTCGGGTGGCGTTATCCAGCGTTCAGACTGTATTGTGTGTGTGCCCAGGTCTCTGTGGGTGAAGCAGCAGCAGCACAAATGAAGAAACTTCATGGGATGACGTACAGGGTGGGAACTTCTCCTCAGATCCTTTGTAAGACCTGCTCTTACACACATCATGTTAAAATCATGTCAAAATCTCTCAAACAAATACTTTCTATCTTCCTCTTTAGATCCAAACTCAGGTTCAAGCAGAGACTGGGCGCGTCTCAGTGGGATTCCCTTTTCATACACGTTTGAGTTGAGAGACACAGGTAATAACACAAGATATTGTACAGTAGTATTTTGTTCTGTCTGTTTATGAGTCTAATTCAATCTGGGAAAACTCTCAACAAAGATAACTGTAGAATTTTTTTTTGGCATGATTGCTTGAATAGACAATAGATAGGTACACACTTTTATATTGCTGTAGTTGCATATTGTACTGGAAGCGCATGTTTAAAACTGCAAAAAAAGTAAAAATGACTTTCGATTTTGACTTTGTTTCTATATATGAGAGAAAAGATATAACAAAAGAGGTTCATTTGCTACTCTGAGGATATTGTTTTCATTTCGTTATTGTACCTTTTTTATACTTTAAATAGACCTCAATATGTGAGGTTTGTAAAAAAAAAAAAAAAAAAATCTTTGCGATGCCCAAAACATCTGAGATACCTACTGTTGTGATTTAGGGCTTTACAATAATACACTGAATTGAATATTGATTTGATCTTATCCCCAGGGGAGTTCAGCCACCTTCTCCCTGAGGAGCAGATCCAGCCGGCCTGCGAGGAGGCGTACGCAGGAGCCCTGTCCATCATCTCCTACGTCCACGACAAAAGCTTCAGGAATAGCACGGTGCCGAACGGAGACAGCAGCCGCTTCAGTCCGAGGGCAGTGTTGGTGACCCTCCTCTGCTCCTGCCTCTCTGTCTCCATCACCGTGGGATGAGACAAGTGCAGTACCAGCTGTGAACAGCAGGGGCAGTGTGGTGTTGTCCTATTTCCTGCAAGAATTAGAAAAACTTACTTAACTTTCAAACAACACCAACATAGACATTTGACTAAAATCAAATCCATGTAGCTTTTTCCTGGTTCTAAAACTGTCTAAACCAAATGTTACACGGACTGGCTTCTTTATCATCCTGAAATTTGTCATTTTATGCTTGCTTCTTACTTCTTCCTCATGCAAAAACTAGAGATTTTGTACTGGCTTCAATATTATGCTAAAGTTAGGGATTTTATACTTGCTTCTTTCTTATACCAAAGATAGAAATGTTGGACTTGCTTCTATATTATGCTAAAGTTGGAGATTTTAGTTTTTGAGTTATTTCACTTGTGCTATGTGTGATGAATCAGATTTGTAATTCCATCTGTTTCAGCTGCATCTGTTTCATACTTTTCCTATACCAAACAGAAAATACACATTTAAATTACATTCAATATTTCTGCTTTGAATTGTTGATCACTTTGACAACAGTCCTCAATTGAAATAGCTCTCAAAAACTCTGACCCAGCCTTCAGCTTGTCTTCTAAATGCAAAGACTGGTTCACTGGTATAGACAGTGTTTAGTTTTTGTTTGTACAATAAGGAAAAATCCACTTAATGGACAGCCGCAATAACCACATATGTAGGTTAAATATAGATGGTTTTCTGGTTTCATTTACTAGACTGGAAGTGTGACAAACTATTTTTTTTGTGCCATTTGTTTCTATTTTCTTCCAGCAGATGTCAGTAGAACACCACAAATACAGACTATGGCTGCATCCAAATAGTTATTTTCTCACCAGCAATACATTACATTTTGTGTATAACTTTGTGATTTTTGATATTCAACCCCCGAAAAGCTCAACAAGCTTATAAATGCATTAACATAAGTAGTAGGATGGCAAGAACAGAGGAATTTAGTTTGAGTTTACATAGTGGTAAATATATGAAAATAAAAGATTAATAAAATAGTGTACAAAATCATGCATCACACAGATCTTGTTTTCTACATTTATAGGGTAGTACAGAGTATTTGTCTATATTAATCCACACATTTATTTGACTTGATTGCTATGATGACAGGTGATGATATAGACATATGGTTATTGATGAATATTTATATGGTCTTCTTCAGGCTGTCAAGTTTTCTCAACTCAAGTCCTCTGTTATTCTCTGCTATTTTTCAAGTGCGATCTTTGACTTCTCAGCAAGACGGTACTGGGTTCGAATCCTGGAACAGTAGGTTTTCTCCGGTTTCCCCTACCACTAAAAACATGTACAGTAGGACTGAATTTAACAAGTGAATGAATGGATGGTGTTTGGTCGGAGGCTTTGATAGACCAGTGTGTTTGGCGACTGTGCTGAGAGAATGGAATATTATCTGAACTCTGAACATTGTAAAGCGCTTTGGATCTGACCTTGGGTTGTAAAAATGTGCTATACAAATACAAATTACTTACTTACTTTAGCAAAACATTAATGACAATAATAATAACATCAGAAGTATTGCTTACACAGACCACTTTCGAAACTTTTATTACAGATTGTCCTATAACACAAAGCCCATGCATGTCACCTTGTATACGCATTTACACTTCCTATAGTTTTACCGTCTTAGCTATTGTCTGACCCCAGCCTCCACACACACACACACACACACACACACACACACACACACACACACACACACACACACCTCATCGACATGTTGACTTTGACACAGTGCGGCTGAATACCTGATTGGAGTTTGACGGATGGCCCAGTGGAGCTGATGGCTCTGCCCCGAAGGTGTCTCCACGCTGGAAATTGCATTGAGCTTCACATAAAAACCTCCACAAGACTGAAACACCGGGGGAGCAGGGGGAATATTAAAGCAGCAACACAGCTCCAAACAGCCGTATATGGGCCCAGAGGGAGAGGACCAGTCACTGTTTCATCACTTACAACCATCAAGCATGCACCTATACAAGCCACAAGCAACGTCTGCTGGTGTGCAAAGCAAGGTAATGATCAAATAAAGGTGAGGCGCGAATAAAGCTGGATAAAGGATGGTCGGAGCGAGGGGCCAAAGGGAGGGGACTACTGATTACTGCTAATGGATTATGGTAAACAAAAATCAGACAGGACACAGTCTTTCATAGGGTAATAAATGTAATAAAACTGCTACATTACTATTTTTTATTATGTACATGATCTATTTATTGAGGTTTTTTTTGTTTTTGTTTTTTAAAGGAGAAATATAGTAAACATCTGGCCAAAAGTGGTACTGCATTCTCCCTGACTCCCAGATATGCAAATGAAAGGGACAACAAATCTATAACCCACACCTTTTTCACAAAGATAGAAATCCTGGTTTTATTCCTTGTTTTGTTGTTAATGATTTGAAAATCATAACAAGACCTTTTGTAGTACTGCGGACTGACATTTTACCGGTGAGATTTGCTTGACGCGGTGAGTTCTGGCAACCTGGATCACAGATTGTCTGTATTTCAAGATGGCGCATTGATCTGGATAGCACTCCACTCTCATGTTTATTTATAAGTCAGTTTCTAATCCTATGACAACTATTCAAGGTATTTGCTTAAAAAGGTCACATTTGTTATTGGTTACCATGTTTTTTTTCATTTGGAGCGACTGTAAATATTACACAGAGAACCTTTAAAGATGGTCCCAACTTTTTATAACTTTTTATACCCTAAAATACAAGATCCACGAAACTGTGAATTTCTAGTAAAACCACAAAACTGAAAAACATAACTTACACACATTTCGTCAACTATGTGTTCAACTATAGATATAAAACCCTAACCCATGTGCAACAATAAGGGTAAGCTGTAACTGTCATTAAACTCAGTGTGTTTAAGTCTTCGTAATACTAATCAGCTAGTTTGCAATTATTTCAATAATCAATTATCTTGTAACAGCATTAATATTGGTGTGTTTTAGTGGGGGCTAAAAAAAGCAGTAAATTATATGTCACATAAAATTTACATTTTGGTGCAAAGCCGGCTTTACAAACAATATCATACCAACACAAATAGAGGCCTGAGAATTGTCCCTGACTGTTGAATCTTTTGGAACCACATCAATCGGCCGTGCTTTAATGACTGACAGATTACACAGCAACGTGCGTGACATTTTGATATTTAAGAACATTTTTCTCATGGAACATTCAAAGCTCTGTGTGATCTGCTTATGTGAGAGCTGATCATATCTTTGTCTTTTTCTCCATTTACCGTATAGACGTGGGAATTCACATATAGTTTTATGGGAAACTCGCAGACGCAATTTTGTTTTCTTCTGAATGTGCTGGAAACGGCTGCGAGTCCTAAGCAGCTCTGAAACAGTTGTTGTTTTGTGTTTTGTTATTTTTCTGGCTTTTTTCTACCAGAGATGCACTGGTCCAGTCCAGAGCAGAGAGGATTCCGGGTCCGAAACAAGCAGATCAGCCAAAAATCCACAGGAGGAATTAAACTTTTTGGAAAAATGCTGATAAAACATTCAGCATTTACGTTGGACCAGAGCAGAGAATATTGTCTGAACCAAGCAGCTGCTCCACCTCTCCTGCTATCAAGAAAGTGTCAATAAAGTATCTATCTATCTTTCTATCTATCAGTGATGGTCAAATATTTGGGAAACTTTCTGCTCTTGAATGAAGATCCGTGCCAGGGTCAGTTTAAATCAGTTACAGCTAAAACATCTGTATTTCTGATTGATTGAAAATATGAAAAGATATTACTTTATCCGTCCCACAGTGGGGAAATTTCAGTGTCATCGTTGCACAATACAGCAGAATAAAAAGATTAAATAAGTCCCAGGTTTGCACATATTTATTCATTCATTTATTTATTTAAGGAAAACCCCATTGAGATGAATCCACAACACAATGCAGTTAAGCACAGTTATATATGCATACAGTTAGTTAGTAATGCATACAAGCTCTACATACAGTACATACATTCCATATACACACACACACACACACACTGGTTTCTCACATATCTACAAATTCATCAAACATATCAACATTGTACTTTAGCAGTTTATATTTAGCATTTTATATTGTACTTTGGCAGAATAAACATTAGTAGTTGTAGTTATAGCAGCAGGTAGAGTAAATTTCTGTGTGACATGAATAAAGTATATCTTATCTTAGAGTGACTTGTGAATTATCAGAACTGGTGAATGGCACATGTACACACTCAGCAGTTCTCATTGTACAGTCTGACAGCAGCAGGAAGGAAAGACCTGCAGAACTTCTTCTTAACACAGCGAGGAAAGAGAGAGACAGAAACCAAAGCAATTGAAACAAAACCATCATTTTTATATTAATAATGACACACATAACCTCTCCATTAATATCTGCTATAAATGCTAATTAGACAGCACCATCTTTTTAATCTCATTTCCCACACAGAGTCGAGATAGTCTGTCATCCAGATTACGAACCGATGCCACACGTATGATATTAATTTGTGTAAGAGGGCTCCTCCACGTCGACCCAGGACACTGCACCACATTCACTTATAGCTAATCAATGCACCAGGCCTCATTCTTCACACGCTGTCCGCACTGGTCAATGGGAATCATGCAATGCTTTTTAACTGTCGCTGAAATCAATGAGGGAGGAGCCCGAGTCGGCAACTACCAATCATTAGAACTAAGAATGGGTCACAAAGGGTTTTGTATGCATAGGTGCGTAGGTGTAGTGGTAAACTCTGGTCCATGATCATTTCCTACACGAACGTCTGGGTCTGGTCCTAGTGGCTGCAGTTTCCTGGGTTGAATCCCCTCCGACCAATCAGCGAGCGGGGGAGGCGGGTGTTGTAGGTCCGTGTCGGTGACGGATGGCGGAATGTTTAGCAAATGTCATTGCTGCAAGGATGTTGTGGTTCTGCTTCGCACGGCTCTGTTAGTGGCAAAAGAGATGGCTAAAGCTAGGCTAAATGCTAAAGCGAGGCTAA